GAACAACGTCGTCACGCTCTGTATGCCTCCTCACTCTTCTCATATACTCCAACCTCTGGATGTTGGCTGTTTTGGCCCGCTCAAGCAAGCGTATGGACGGCAAATCGAGAAGAAGATGAGGGCCGGTACAAGCCACATCACCAAGGAGGACTTCTTTCCCGCAATTTTCGCGGCATTCCAGGAGGCAATGACGGAAAGGAACATCCAGGGAGGTTTTCGAGGCGCAGGACTTGCTCCGATTGACCCTGAAGCCGTGATTTCCCGACTGGATGTAAAGCCACGGACGCCGACACCTGTGGAGCGGGGTCGTGGAACGCCTGAACCTTGGGTTTCTAAGACGCCAAACAACCCGACTGAAGCGAGCTCTCAGACGGATTTCATCAAGGGCCGAATCTCCCGTCATCAGAATAGCTCGCCGACATCTATTTATGAAGCTGTCGACCGGCTTTCGAAGGGGGCGCGGGGAATCATGCATCAGATTGCCCTGCTCAAGTCTGAGAACCGGATCCTTCGAGAGGAGAATGAGATACTCAGCCGGCGTCGAAGGGCCAAAAAGTCACGTCTCCGAAAGGGAGGGAGCATGACGCTATCTGAGGGACAGGATATCCAGGCCCAGAAGGAGGTGGATGCGCAGGTGAGGCAGGAAAAGAGACAAAGTAGCGGTCGCAAGTCGAGGACAAAGGTGAAGGAACGGCGCTGTGGTGTCTGCGGCAAGACAGGACATAACGCACGAAGTTGTCAGATAGTAGTGAAATTGTCTGAGGAAGGCGATTCCGATTGATTTCAATTGATTCCAGGTGTTTTGGTCGACTTATTGGGGGTGATAGTCGCCTGGTTGTGGTGTTGCGCGCCACTCGCTTGTTTGCGCCACTCGCTTATCATGTACGTTAATTAATATCCGCCAATCAAGCTGTGACTCGGTGTATTGTTTTCAATGGATGCTGGCACTGGGTCGCCACATCATTCCGGATCACCCCTCTTTGTGAAGAGGGTACCAATGTTGTCCGTTCAGAACTGA